GAATTCCTGAAGTCTTACGATTAGAAGTGTAAATCGCCGAGCTGAGTCGCCGCTGTTGGTGGGACAAAAAAACTAACAGTTTTGAAGATTTTTCGACGCCTGAGATCACTCTTCAACGATGTTTCTGTCTAGGTTTTTTATCAGTGTGTTCTCTACCATTGTTTTCTCTTTTTTCAGCCGATAATTTCTCTGAAATAAGAAAACCTTAAAGAAATCGTCCAACAAATTCACTCGCCTCCGCCAACAGACAAAAAAAGGTGAGTGTTTTCAGTCGCTACCGAAAGAAAAAAATAAAATCAGACTTACGCACCGTCGATCTATGGACAAGTTTACGCTCCTGCTTACGGAAGTGGAAATAAATTTTTTTTCGAGAAATAGAGTGTAAGAACAAGAATAACAATTTTTTTCCGAGAAAAAGAGTATAAGAACAAGAATAACAAGTTTTTTCCGAGAAAGAGAGTGTAAGAACAAGAATAACAATTTTTTCCGAGAAAGAGAATATACGGGCGAGAACAACAAATTTTTTCTGAAAACAAAAAGAATAATCGGGAAAAGTTGCTCTCATAACACTAATGATCGGGTATGTAAACTTAGTCGCTAAAAATGATGAAAGTCTTTGGCAACTACTAGCTGATATGATTCAGGTTTTTTATGCAGTACTTCGTCACTTTTAACAAAAGAACCTCACTTTAAATCATGGCTGACCCAAGAATTGACATTTAGCCACACAAAACTAAAAATTTTCTCAAAAACAGTTTCTAGGTCTGTTTCAATAAATGTTACTATTTGTTGCCGATAGCGACAAAAAATCTTGACGTCTGTACAAAAATTTTTATGTACTGCACAAACCTATCAGTTTGACGTGGTAGAAAACAATTATTTGAGCGTACCACAGTCTATGGAATTTGAACCTAAGATGGGCTTTAGTCTACTCAAGCCGTGTGATTCCATCGTCTATGAATAGACCCTATCTAAGCCTTCATTTATTCCATCCACGAGTCTACCTAAGCTTTTAGCTGTCCAACCGAGAGTAGGCTCGAGAATATCCAGGCCTTGTGACTAGACACCTGCGTGACCGTCGTGACTGCCGTGACTCACGGTCACGGTTACGGTCATGATCGTGACCAATTTCTAAAAAAAAATCGTGACCGCGACGCGATCGTGACCAGAACCTGGTCACGGTCAGTCACTACAAATTTTTAATGTAGACATACGACGCGTATTTTTTAAATTTCGTCAGATAATTAAATATTTCATCATGTTTATTATTCTTTCAATAAGTATCAATGTCTTTTTTTTATTTTTCTAATTCAAAACAAACAAATGTAATCAATACACACTCATAATACCAGAAAACATACATACACTATAAATATATTTTAACGAGACTACATAAAAGTATTTTAGAAAAAAAATGTACTACTAAAACATATTTTCTTTTTCTTCAATAAGAATATCATCATTTTCATCTACTTTTTGTTTTTTAATATTTTCATCAGATGATTTATTTGATGATTGATCATTCTTTCGTTTCTCTTGATTTTGCTCATTGTCACCCGTTTGGTTATCAAATATAGCTTTAAGAATATTAAGATTTTTTCTTAAAAACATTAATTTATTAATCTTTTCCATTCCTAATCTTGTTCGTTTATCTGTTATAGTATATTTAGAAATAGAAAATAATCTCTCGACTGTCATGTTTGACGCAGGAATAGCAAAAATGTCACGTACGATAGTTGAAATGATAGGAAAAGATTGATTATGATATGACCAAAATCCCAAGATATCATCATTTTCTTCATCATCTAATGTTAAAGTCGAAGACATCCATGAAGCAAATTCATCAACAGTGGATGTTGGTGATCGAGGATCATCAAAACATAGGGATAAAAGGTTTTTTTTCGTATTTCTGCTGTTTTCTTTTCTGATGATGATGTCAGAACAGACATCGTAATTGGTGTAGAAGATGAATCAAATGAAGATGATGATGAATTTGCTGTTGTACGTTTGTGAATTTCTTTTTGAAGTACTTGCATTGCTCTACTTTTATGAGATGGATTTTTATCAAAATGTTTGAGTTGTGGATGAAGGATGGTGGCTAGTAAATGTTCATCTTGAGGTATCCACATGGTCACAGACTGTTCGAGTATTATCTGATTACTAAGCAATATGGTTAATTTTTTTTCTTACAGCATTACTTAAACGCTCGAGAACCCTCGAAAGTTATCCTTCGGCATAATTATATTATTTTTATTACTCCCATAGATACTGACGATCTAATATGGGAGCAGTTCCTTTTATTTGTTCATCTAAACGAAAATAAAAAGATTACTGTAGTGTACTTGAATGCGAAACGATCTGCTCGATCTAAAATACAAGAAAATATCAATGCGGATAACTACCTATGAATATCTTTATCGAAATTAGACCACCTTCATCATCATCACGAACGACACAACAATTGATAAGATACTGACGAAGAGGTACAACAAGATGAATTGTTGGACTTTGTTCATCACTAAGTTTCTCAATAACTATATCAAAATGTATAAGAAAATCACATAGCTGATGTAATAGTTGCTTGTTGATGAGAGATTAAGAAAGAAGATGATTTGCATTAAGTGATTGTGGTATCTCTCCAAAAATTTCATTGAAAACATAGAACATAATAAATGCACCATTAAATCTAGTTTTAGAAAAAGTCTGTAGTTTTTTCGAAAGCTTATTTTGTCGATGTGCACGTCGAACATATTCGATGATTTCTTTAATCAAGTTGAATAGCTTTTGTGTTTCTTTTAATTCTAATTGTTTTTCATCTGTAAACGTTTTCTCAAGTATCTTGTTGAGATAATGATCAGAACAACCTACGCATTTTTAAATCAGCAAATGCGCAACGCGTTTTATTTTCATTGTGTGAAACAACATATGATGATGACGTATCAAATGATAAACCAAATTCATCAAGAATAGAATTAACGAATCTTCGAATATTCGGACTTGTTTGATTTTCCAGTTCATAAGCTCGACAACAAAGTATAAATGTATTAAGTTTAAATCGTGTATTAACATGATGAAACGATATACCAGCATAATGAACACCTGAAAAAGAAATATTTAAGAAAAAAATATGAAAAAATTAGAATAATCTGTGGAAGATGCTCACTGTAATTCGCTTTGAACAGCTTCTAGATGCATAATCTCTCGGAAATGAAAAGCTGTTGTACGGTTTCCTTAATCGAGGATGTGGGTGTGGGTATGGGTGGGTGTGGGTATGGGTGGGTGTGGGTGTGGGGTGTGGGCGTGGATGTGAATGATAATTGCAACATCCACACCCACACCCACACCCACACCCCACACCCCACACTCACACCCTTTTTGACGTTGATATCAGCTATGTATTTTGTTTTATTCAGACTTTATGTTAAATTGTACATAAGACACATTCTATACGTACAATAATGGATTCGGAAACGGTAGATAATACAACCGTTTTACAAGTCATAGCAGATAGTGTGCAAAGTTCAACTTGCAGAACAAAGATGATTGACCAAAAAAATTTAGAAAACTTTCAAATCGTTTGGCTTGATGTCAATATCACTAAAACAGATGATAATTTACAAACACAATCTGCACTGCGTGCTATCATTAATTATCTGAATACATTTGACAATATTTGCGACTGTTATGATTATATAGTCACAGTTCAAGATGAAAAAGTATTTTTAATTGTATCAGGTTCAATTAGTGAATATATAGTACCTTATGTTTACAAGATGCCACAAGTTCAATTTGTTTATATATACTGTTTTGACACTGAAAACCATAAACACTGGGAAATGGATTATGAAACAGTACGTGGCGTGTACGCCACTATGAACGATATTTGTGAGCAATTAAGCAAAGATGTTATTACAAGTGAGCACCAATTTTTATCCATGAATATTATTTCTACTCATACAAAAGAAAAAGAAAAAAATCAACAAGAAGCCTCATTTATGTACTGTAAATTATTAACTGAAATCCTGATTGGAATGAAACCTGAAGATGATGCCAAAGCAAATATGATTAATCACTTGAAATTGCAGTATCATGGTAATAAAAACGTTTTAAGAGATATCGATGAATTCAGTGAGACCTATAAGCCAAATAAAGCCATATGGTGGTACACAAAACATTGCTTTATCTTTGAAATATTAAATAAAGCACTTCGCATCATAGACGTTGATATTCTATTTAAATATCGCTTGCTCTTGGCAGATATATATAACCAAATAAAACAACTACATTCCGAATTTATTCAATCATTAGCGGCACAAAATAGCAACACTCAACAAACCCGACTCACTGTGTACCGCGGCCAGGGTATAAGCGCTGAAGACCTTAAACAAATTAACAATAATATTGGAGGTCTTTTATCATTCAATAACTTTCTATCAACAACTGCGAACAAAAAAGTAGCGCTAACATTCCTACCACAACGATCAGATAGTCCATCTATTTTTTTCGAAATAAACGTTGACTATACCAAAGAGACCAAACCATTTTGTAATATCAGGCTACACAGCCACTTCAGAGAAGAAGAAGAATTCCTGTTTTCTATCGGAGCCGTGTTTCGAATCGAATCCGTTCAAAACCTAGAAAACAGCGTTTCCAAAGTCAATCTGACATTAACCAGAGAAGAGGACGAACAATTGAAACATTTGAGAGCACATTTTCAAATGGAACTCGGCGAAATGTTCCACACAAACGCTCTAGGTGCACTTATGCTAGACATGGGTAAATACGAACATGCTCAACATTTTTTCACACTCCTACCTAAGAACCATCCACTATCACATACGGAAATTCCCATACTACATAATAATATCGCTCTAGATTACCATAGCCCACCACACTACCAAAACCAGCTAGAACATGATAAAAACGTTCTTCAGATCCGCTTAAAATCTACCTCATCCCATACAACATCATTAACAACCGCGCGATATAACATCGGAGTAGTCTACCACAACAAAGGAGAATACGATCACGCATTAGAATATTATGAAAAACAACTCGAAATTGAACTGAACTCGTTGCCACACTTTCATCCAGTATTAGCAACTACATACAACAATATTGGATTAGTTTACAGTGACCAAGGTAAATACGATAAGGCATTAGAATATTATGAAAAAGGACTCGAAATTGAACTGAAGTCGTTGCCACCCTTCCATCCATTATTAGCAACTACCTATAGTAGTATTGGATTAGTTTACCAGAAGGAAGGTGAATACGATAAAGCATTAGAATATTATGAAAAAGGACTACAAATTGAATTAAAGTCGTTGCCACTTCTACATCCATCAATAGCAACTACATATGGTAACATTGGCTCAGTTTACTACGAAAAAGCTGAATACGATAAGGCATTAGAATATTATGAAAAAGGACTCGAAATTGAAATGAAGTCGTTGCCACCACTTCATCCATCATTAGCAACTACATATCAAACCATTGGATTAGTCTACCAGAACAAAGCTGAATACGATAAGGCATTAGAATATTATGAAAAAGGACTGGATATTCAACTGAAGTCGTTGCCACCCCTTCATCCATTATTAGCAACTACATACAATAATATTGGATTAGTTTACACAGACAAACATGAATACGATAAGGCAATAGAATATTATGAAAAAGCATTGGAAATTAAACTTAAGTCGTTGCCACCCCATCATCCATCATTAGCAACTATATATAGTAATATTGGAATACTATACACAACGACAGGTGAATATCATAATGCATTAGAACATATTGAAAAAGCACTGGAAATTGAACTGAAGTCGTTGCCACCCCTTCATCCATCATTAGCAACTACGTACACTAATATTGGATCAATCTACAATGACAAAGGTGAATATGATAAAGCATTAGAATATTATGAAAACGGACTGGAAATTAAACTGAAGTCGTTGCCACATCTTCATCCATCATTAGCAACTACGTATGGTAATATTGGATCAATTTACAATCACAAAGGTGAATACGATAAGGCATTACAATATTATGAAAAAGGACTCGAAATTGAATTGAAGTCGTTGCCACACCTTCATCCATCATTAGCAACTACATACCATAATATCGGATCCATCTACGGTGACAAAGGTGAATATGATAAAGCATTAGAATATTACGAAAAAGGACTGGAAATACAACTGAAGTCGTTGCCACCCTTTCATCCATTATTAGCAACTACATACAATAATATTGGATTAGTTTACTGTAAGAAAGGTGAATATGATAAAGCATTAGAATATTATGAAAAAGCACTGGAAATTCAAGTGAAGTCGTTGCTACCCTTTCATCCATTATTAGCAACTATATATGGTAATATTGGATTAGTTTACAGTGACAAAGGTGAATACGATAAGGCATTAGAATATTATGAAAAAGCATTGGAAATTCAACTGAAGTCGTTACCACTCCTTCATCCATCATTAGTAACTACATATGGTAATCTTGGATCAGTCTGCAAGGAGAAACGTGAATACGATAAGGGATTAGAATATTATGAAAAAGGACTGGAAATTCAACTGAAGTCGTTGCCACCCCTGCATCCATCATTAGCAACTATATATGGTAATATTGGATTAGTTTACAGTGACAAAGGTGAATACGATAAGGCATTAGAATATTATGAAAAAGGACTGGAAATTCAACTGAAGTCGTTGTCACCCCTTCATCCATTATTAGCAACTACATACAATAATACTGGATTAGTTTACCAAAAGAAGGGTGAATACGATAAGGCATTAGAATATTATGAAAAAGCAGTGGAAATTCAACTGAAGTCGTTGCCACTCGTTCATCCAACATTAGCAACTACATATAGTAATATTGGAATACTTTACACAACGACAGGTGAGTATCGGAAGGCATTAGAATATGTTGAAAAAGCACTGGAAATTGAACTGAAGTTGTTGCCACCCCTTCATCCATCATTAGCAGCTACATATAGTAAAATTGGAATATTTTACACGGCGACAGGTGAATACCATAAGGCATTAGAATATGTTGAAAAAGCACTGGAAATTGAACTGAAGTCGTTGCTACCCCTTCATCAATCATTTGGAACTGCATACACTAATATTGGATCAATCTACAATGACAATGGTGAATACGATAAAGCATTAGAATATTATGAAAAGGGACTGGAAGTTAAACTGAAGTCGTTGCCACACCTTCATCCATCATTAGCAACTACATACAGTAACATTGGATCAGTTTACCAGAAGAAAGGTGAATACGATAAAGCATTAGAATATTATGAAAAAGAACTGGAAATTAAACTGAAGTCGTTGCCACACCTTCATCCATTATTAGCAACCACATACAATAATATTGGATTACTTTACGAGAAGAAAGGTGAATACGATAAGGCATTAGAATATTATGAAAAAGAACTGGAAATTAAACTGAAGCCGTTTCCACAGCTTGCTCCATCATTAGCAACTACATATGGTAATATTGGATCAGTTTACCAGAGGAAAGGTGAATACGATAAGGCATTAGAATATTATGAAAAAGAACTGGAAATCGAACTGAAGTCGTTGCCACCCCTTCATCCATCATTAGCAACTACATATCATAGTATTGGATTGGTTTACTATAAGAAAGGTGAATACGATAAGGCATTAGAATATTACGAAAAAGAACTGGAAATTCGACTAAAGTCGTTGCCACCTTTTCATCTATTATTAGCAACTACATACAATAATATTGGATTAGTTTACTGTAAGAAAGGTGAATATGATAAAGCATTAGAATATTACGAAAAAGCACTGGAAATTGAACTGAAGTCGTTGCGACCCCTTTATCCATTATTAGCAACTACATACAATAATATTGGATTAGTTTATCAAAAGAAAGGTGAATACGATAAGGCGTTACAACATTATGAAAAAGAACTGGAAATTCAAGTGAAGTCGTTGCGACCCCTTCATCCATCATTAGCAACTACATACAATAACATTGGATCAGTTTACCAGAAGAAAGGTGAACACGATAAGGGATTAGAATATTATGAAAAAGGACTGGAAATTCAACGGAAGTCGTTCTCACCCCTTCATGGATCATTAGGAACTACATATGTTAATACTGGATTAGTTTATAGTAGTAAAGGTGAATAGAATAAGGCGTGAAATTATTACGGAAGGGTGTGGGTGTGGGGTATGGATTTGGGTGTGGTGTGGATGTGTGGGTGTGGGGTGTGGGTGTCGATAAATAGAAGAACACACCCACCCACACCCCCCCCCCCCCCCCCCCCCACCCCCCGAGGGAACATTCCGAAGTGATTCGCATCATTTGGCTTCATATTATGCTCGTAGGTCGGATTCATACTGTAGGTAAATACCCTAAAGTGGTTCATACCATTGTGCCTTTCTTCTTGAATTATGGCCATTTTACTGAATTTTCAGCCTATCACACAGTATTATGAAACAATTTCAACAAGGAATTTCTGCTTGGAGATTTTGCCAATAATAGATCTCATAGTCCTTATTATATCCTGAAAGTTTTAGCTCAAACGAATGAATTTTTCTAAAGATATGGAGTATCTTAAAATAAACTATTGTCGGAGCTTTTGTGAGAAAGTAGTAGGTTTTTGCAAATGCATTATTTCGAAAAGAAATTATTCCTTTGAGCTGAAATTTTCAGGATATAATAAGGACTACGAGATCTATTATTAGGGAAATTTTCAAGCAGAAATTCCTTGTTAAAATTTTTTTCATACTACTGTGTAAGAGGCTGAATATTCAGTAAAATGGTCATAACTCGAGAAGAAAGGCACAATGGCACGAACCCCTTGAGGGTATTTACCTACACTATGAGCCCTACCTATGGGTGTAATATGAAGTCTAACAGTGCGAATCACTTGGGAATGTTTGCTCGTAAGCGTTTTCTACAAACGTTGTTTTCAGTCCCTTCAAACATTTGCTTCTAGTGAACCAACCGTAAGTCGGAAAAAAATTCGAACAGATATTTAGAAAGAGCATGCAATGCTCGTTCTGACTGACTACATTTGATTCTCTCCAGTGAGTTATACATGGTCGAGAGTTGAACAAACATCTCGTGCAAAGACTATTGAAACAAGGGTAAAAAATCCATCTAAAAAACATTAATGATATCCTCACGTTTATATCTGTCTTATTTCTTAAGTCGAGACCTTTATTTTTTGTACAATAAGTATACTTGCAAATGCTTGTTAAAACGACTATTTACTTCTTGAACTTACTAAAATGATTGCAAAGATATATCGATTGGAAAATTGCGGAAAACTTCTTTTCCATATATTATTTTAGCTGAAACCGGCTAAGTTTCAATCTAAAGAACAACATTGGCATAGCTCCGAATTCACTAGGACTACGTAGAATACTCCTATTATTTTGATCTTTAGACAATCGATTCCTTTTAAGTCTACTTTTGAAACTTTTCCATGAATACTTCGAATCAAAATTGATTGCTGTAATCTTACACACGTAAAGACTGAATTATTTATGATGTTTTTTTTATAAATCTGTTATAAGAAAATAAAATAAAAAATTATCAGTTGGAAACAAATGATTATGTTAATCTATACGTCATCTACAACATTCTAATATTTGTACAAACAGTTTTCTATGGTATTTTTATATAAGATGTTTGTCTAAAACTTTTTTCTAAATAAATAAACTTACCGTAAAATATACGGTACAACATGTGATCGTCTTAAATCATTACTTTGTTCAAATTTCAAAGTCACAATGGTTGATAAATCAATAAGAGATGAAAGATTGTTAACATATTCACGTGATTCATTTCTATAAGAATCCATAAAAACTGAGCGAAAGAAAAACAAAAATTAATAAAAACATAATTAGTTAATGAAAGAATTAATAACAATTCATCGATATATTTTTACACACTTAATGTAAATATATTCTTTAAGAATGACATTATTGATGATTCCATCAAGGATAAATGTATCACAAGAAAATCGACATTTCTAAACAGAATATTTGAAGATGATTTAAAGACTCGTCTTTCTATATATCTTGGCATATAAAATTCTATTGAGTTGTTATGCGATTGATAGCGATGATCATTAATATTTGATACATCTGTTGACATCATTTCGAATGTGCCACAACATACATATGTTGTTATAGGATATTTATATCGTGGAATCAGATGTTTGTAGTTGAGTGTGCGCAAAACAATACATTGATCTAAATATACTACCATTTAGAATAATAATAAGAAAGAAAAATAACAGTCATAGCAAATTGTGTTTTTGCTTTTATGAATCACTTTATCAATAGGTTGTCTCATGCTTTATATATAGATGGAAGTCGTAATATATGATGAAATAAAAGAGGAAGACGAAAGAAATAACGTGTTTTCCAACTAATAAAACCAACATCATGTGTCAAGATTTATGGTAACTGGAGGAAAGTTATTAATACTTCCGAACAACTTTTCGCTATAATAATTTCATTTTATGTAAAATATACACATGTTATTGGCAACAGTAATCGTAACCAGAGTAAACGTTCATCTCAAAAGATTATGTTAGTCGTAATTTCTGACAAACTATTGTTATCAGAAGAAGATCCATTGAAGATAGGTCGAAAATATTGAAGAAGTTCTACAAATAATACTTGCTCATTTAGTCTTTACTTCTAATATTCTTCGATGAATTTTTTTTAGGTTTTTCATTTTTGTATGAAATGAGAACTTCTCATTTCATTTCATTTCATTTTCGGCAATATGTGACAGCGCTGAGGAAAATGGTCTATATTGTTTATTCCTTCTTCTATTACTGTCAAAACTCAATAAAATAAAGCAATATCATTTTTTTAACTTACAGGGTATGAATTCTTCAAAGGTTTCCCATCGACTAATAGCCATATGCCAATTATCATATCGTGTGAGAAAACATCGAAACGAGTTAAGAACCAAGTTTAAATCGAATAATCCTTCATCTTTTAAAAAAGACATATGAAAATTGAATTTGTTCAAATTTGATACATGTCTTGTTAATATTTGTTGCCAATATTTTTCATCGAGTAAGTCATCAATAAATGGTGTATCAAGATATTCAATGATCAATGTAAAACTAAAGTCTTGAAGATTAGGGATACAATGAAGAATATGATGAAGTGAATGAATATCAAATTCTGTAAATATTTGCAGATCAAGTGTTTTTAATGATGGTATTGTGGGTAAATCATCTTCATTTAGAGATAGAATATTTGGCATACTGAAGAAAAAAATAAACATATTGTTTTATATTTTATTCTTTAATAAGATGGTTGATTTTATTTGATCTCAAATCAATTATATATGAAAATAATTTATAATGTTATTCATTTAAATAACCTTACTTGACATTATTATCCTGTGACATCGTACAACTTTTGATTATAACATTGAGATGTCGCAATCTGCTACATACACGAAGGACAGCAATTAGACAATAAACCGATATATTATCAAGTGTTCCGTAAAACATCAATTCTAGATATGTAAGCTTCGTATTGATGATCATACTTCTCGTTAATTCAGGATAATCATAATGAAATCGAGGAGTGGCAGAACGAACTGTAGATGATGTATTTAACAAAGCCATTTCACTGAACAGATGTGCATGATTCCTACACAGTTTATCGTCGCTAGCATTGTAGGATTGACATATGTGAAATGATACAAGCTGAGTTTGTATTTTCAATTGTTTGATGACATTTTTCGGTTTAGACGATGCATCAAGATACCAAAATATGCACGAACGAAGATTGGAGAACTTATGTCGATTAAAAAGATATCCAATGACATTTGTTTGA